CCTCCACACATTCACTGCAGGCGGTGCAGCAGCAGCAGAGGAGGAGGCAGGGGAGGGGGTGGGGCTCCGTGGCAGGGCAATGATGCAGCAGAGGGAGAGCCAGGCTGTGTGCATGTGTGGGTGTGTGCAAGGGCCACCGGCATAGGCATAGGCGGGGATGGGCAGCGAGGGGGGGTGAGAGGAAGGAAGGGGGCGGCAGTAGCGCGCCACCGGCAGGCAGGCGCATGCTGGGTTTGCGCCCAGAGGGCCGGCCAGCATCTCGGGGATCCATACACCGCACGCTGCACGACGCCCAGGCCCCCGCCCCGCCCAGGTATGAACAGCGGCGCGGCGCGGCGCGGCGTGGCGCAGCGCTCACCCTTGCGCCGCTGCTTCAGTTGCGTTTCGGTGAGCTCAAAGGCCTGGCGCTGCACCTGCCTGCACCCATCGGCGGCGGCGGCGGCAGCGCGAGGCGGGAGGCCGGGTCGATCCCAGGGCTGACTAAAGGCAGGCGGCCATAACAAGTAGCAGGCAGGCAGGCAGGCAGGCAGGCAGGCAGGCGGGCGGGCAGGCAGGCAGGCCGGCAGGCCTCATGCTGCCTGCCCCAAGACGAGAAAACAGAGGCACGTGCTCGGCCCGTGGCAAGGAGAAAGCGATGTGGGGGCGGGGCAGGCGCAGGGGCGGCCTTGCCTGCGCCGCGCAGTGTCCGGCGTCGCATCGCCAGCCGCCCTCAGCCCGCACCGCGCCTCCACCTCTTCGATGGAAGGACCGCCCGCCTGCTGCTGCTGCTGCTGAGGGGCAGCGGCGCTGCGGCCCCAGCCGCTGCCGCCAGCGCCGGCCAGCCGCTCCCTCAGGCCGCCGGCGCCCCACTTGCTGGCGGCGGCGGCCCCCCAGGCGTCGCCGCCGCCGCCGCCGCCGCCGCCGCCGCTTGCAGGCGCCACCTTTCCATTGGAGGCGGCCGCTGGCGCCCCGAGGCAGGGGAAGTCCTGCGGGCAAGGAAGGTGAGGGGCACACGTTGGCTGCAGCGGCGGCAACGGCGGCGGGCTGGGCTGGTGTGGTGTGGGGCTGGGGCTGCCCTGCCACACCAGTGCTGACCCCCGCAGACTCGGACAGCCCATCCGGCGGCCCCGCGAGCGGCGTGCCGCCGCCTGCGCCGCGCCCGGCTCAAGAAGGAACCCCAGAAGGCAGAAGGAACCCAGAAACCCCAAAGCCCAACAGAGGCGAGCCACACGGGGCGACAGGGGGCAGTCCAGCAGAGGCGAGCCGCACAGGGCGGCAGGGGGGCAGCCACACAGGGCGGCAGAGCACCCCACCTGCTCCACAAGCTCCGGCTGGCTCCACTGCGGGGTGGGCGCCTGCTGGCGCCGCACATAGGTGCCGTAGTCGCCCTCCAGAAGGTCCAGGTAGCCGCCGCCGCCGCCGCCGCTGCCGGCAGCCGCAGCCGCCGCCGCAGCAGCAGCCGCCTCGCTCCGCTCTGCAGGGGCCGGGCGGCGGCGGTGGCGGCGGCGGCGGGGTCAGGGGGTGGGTGGATGCGTGTGTGTGCTGTGGGGTGGGGTGGGCAGGCCTAGTATGGGGGTAGGCCGGCGAAGCGGCGGCCCCCGGTGCCGCCCAGCGCAGCCAGGAGCCGCCCCTCGACACGACCCGCACAAGCCGGCCCGTCGGCCCGACCGCCAGCGGGCTGGAAAGCACGGCGGGCGCGGTCGCACCTCTCTCCCCGCCATCCGCGATTGCACCGCCGCCGCTGCCGCGGCCCCAGCCAGGCCGCCGCCCGCCCCTGGGGCCCTGCTCCTGCTCCTGCTGCTCCTGCAGCTGCTGGCCCTGCTGCTGCTGCGGTGCCGCCGCCTGCGCCTCGCTGGCGCTCGCCAGCATGGCAGCTTCCATTGCGGCCCGCAGCTCCTCATCCTCATCCTCCTGCTGCTGCTGCTGCTGCTGCTGCTGCTGCTGCTCCTGCTCCTCCTCTTCCGAATCCGAGGAGGCCGCAGCCAGCGAGGCCACCCTCTCCTCCCCCTCCACACCCACCACCTGCCCCTCCTCTCCCGTGTCCACCTCCACCCCTCTCCCCACATCCGCGAAAAACACCTCCACAGGGGGCCCCGCAGGTGCCGAGGGCGGCGCCGCCGCTGCCGGCGCCGGCTGCGGCGGGGACGCGGCCGTCTGCGGCGGCTGCTGCGGCTGCGGCTGCTGCGGCAGCGGCTGGCGCGGCGGCTGGCCGGGGATGGGGAAGGCTGCCAGCGGCGACTGCAGCAGCCAGGCAGCAGGGAGCGGAGCAGGCGCAGCGCGGATCACCACAAATGTGTGTGTGTGTGTGTGTGTGTGTGTGTGCGTGTGCGCGTGCTGGCCACCTTTGTCTCATGCCAGGCCCCCAGCATCGAAGCGCAATGCAAGATGCGATGCAAGGGACCCAACAGAGGGAGCGCCTGGGGCGGGTGGCCTGCCAGCACACGCCGCCCGCCGCCCGCAAGGCCTCACCTTTTCGACGGGCCTCGCGGCCGCTCCCTGCCGCGCAGGCGTGTGGTGCTCGAACCCAGGCGGCGCGGCACGCGGCGCCACCGGGGCCGCCGCCGCCTGCTGCAGCGGCGCGTAGCCAGGCGGCGGGCCCCTGCCAACTGCCGCCACGCCAGGCGGCGCGGGCGCGGGCGCCACGGCGGCAGCCGCGGCCGCGGCAGCGGGCGCGGGAGCAGCGGCTTCGTCCTGCTGCTGCCTGGCCTGGCCCTGCATCTGTACTGCCTGCATCTGTACTGCCCGGGGTACAAATTCTTTGGCTGCCACCGCCGCCTGCATCCCCAGGCTGCCAGAGGGGCTGAGGCTGGGGGAGCTGGCGGCAGCAGTAGGTGGGTGGGAGGCGGGGCCGGCGGGCCCAGCCGGCGTGATGGGCGAGCCATGCGGCTGTGCCTGCTGTGAATGCTGTTGGTACTGCTGGTACTGCTGGTGCTGTGCTGCGAGGGGCATGCCGTGTGGCACCTGCTGGTACTGCTGGTACTGCTGCTGCTGCTGCTGGTTGGGCGGCCCCATGGGGCAGATTGCCAGGAAGCCGGGCCGCGCCTGCTGCGTCAGCTGCATCGGTGCGTGGGCTGCCTGGGGGGGATGGCGCATCACTGCCTGCTGCTGCGCCTGCATACGGGGCGAGTGCTGGCCGGGAGCGTGCGCGACGCCGTTGCCCGCCGCGCCATCTGCGGCAGCGGCGCAGCAGCGGGGAGCAACGGATCAGGTGTTTGTTGTTGTGCACCGGGCGTTCACGTACGTAGCGTCCCGCGGCACACCTTTGCTGTCGCCGCCTGATGATGTGGGCAAGCAAGGCAGGGCCTCACCCGCGTGGAACGGGGCGGCGGTAGCGGCCGCCAGCGCGGCGCCGCCGCTCGACTGCAGCTCCGCCACCAGCTGAGCCTGCTGCTGCTCCAGGTAGGCCTTCTCCGATTGCAGTTTCCGCACGCGCTTCTGGTGCGACGCCATGAAGTTGTGGAACGCTGCCTCTTCATCCTCCAGCTTGCGCTTGGTGCCCTCGATGCGGGAAACCACCTCATTCAGCTTCAACAGCAGATCGGAGCCGCTGCCTGGGGCAGCCATGATGCTGCCCAGGCTTGCGGAACACGATGGGATAGGGTTGAGGTATTGGATGGGGTGCTGGGAGCTGGATTGAACCTGCGGAATGTCGGCGATCGGGCCGGGCCGGGTCCTCAGGAAGGTGCCCACAGGGCCTGACTCACCCGCCGCTGACCCGGCGCGGGCGTGCAGGCGGGTGCAGATCGCAGGCCCCCAGCATACCAATAATGCCCAAGCTTTGGTGGCGCACCTGGCCACCTACCACAGCAGCAGAAAAGTGGACCAGTATGCCACAGTGGAAGGGAGGGCATGCTCCGGCACGTGGTCACCACCGCCGTGCCGCCAACCAGCCTCTCTTTTGCCCAAGCGAGGCTACTCCTGCTGTTGAGTACAAGCAGGTTCGTGCCTGTGCTTGCATGTTTCAACTGAAATCCACACTACCAGGGCGCAGCCATGCTGAAGCAGCGAGGGCACCAAGGAGCCGGCCGGACTTGAGCGGGACGCTCGCTAGCATGCACCCGCGGCCAACATCCAATAACAATAGCATCGGCTGCCGGCTGCTGCTGGTGCTCGGCTACAGCATACAGCCAGGTGCTCCGCATCAGCCCAGCAGGCGCAGCAGGAGGAGGGAGGGCCAGCCCAGCGGGCCGCCACACGCCGCCCACGCCCGCCTCAGCCCATCATCTGCCGCGCCTTGATCAGCCGCTTCAGGGCTGTGAGCCAGGCGGAGCACTCGTCCCAATCGCTGGTGGTGAGGGAGACCTGCGGGGGAGGGAAGGCCGGGGGGCGGGGGTGAAGAAAGAAGAGGAAGGCACAACAAGACGGCGGCAGACAGCAGGCGATGTCGTCGTGGCGGCGCCAGCGGAGATTGGCCGACTCTCTGCTGCCGGGGCGGGGAAAGCATGCCGGCATGCAGCAGGCGGCGCCGGAGTGCTGGCCAGACCGGCAGGCAGGCAGGTGGACGGGCGGAAGGTATCAGGCGCGCACGGGCAGGTGCCAGGCAAGCACAGACGGGTGCCAGGCAGGCAGGGCAACAGGCCAGGCGCGGCTGCGAGACCCGCCTGCAGGTGAGTGGCGGTCACCAGGTCGCCGCCATCCAGGGCCTGGCACAGCTGCAGCAGCTTGGTGCCCACGCTCTGGCTGACCTCACCTGCGGGCGGGTGGCGGCGGCGGCGGCGGCAAGGGAGGAGGGCAGGCACCCCAGCGGTCGGCACGGGCTGCCGCTGCCGCGCTGGTTGGTAGACGCATGCGGCGCTCCCTCCCACCACCCTCCGCACACACCACTGGGGGCGGGTCCAGCCGGCGCCCGTGCTGCTGCGCCTCCCCGCTCGCTCAGCCGGCCCCCTCTGCCCCAGCCCGACGCGCGCCCGCCGCTCCAACCGGCGCCCGCAGCCCCCGCCCGCCGCACACCCACGGCCCCCCCGCCTCACCCTTGTTCATCCTCCAGAACAGCGCCCCCAGCTTGCGGCTGCTGTCCTCCACCTCCCGCTTCTTGCCGGGGTGGGCCCCCGCCGCCATCTCACACATCTGCGCAGCAGGCAGGGCGGGGCGGGGCAGGGCGGGGCGGCAGGTGGGTGGGTGGCTGGGTGGCCGGGGTGCGACGCCAGCCTGGCGTGCCAGCCTGGCGCCGAGCTCTCCACTTGCCCATGTGCTGGCGACGGCGCATACCAGCGTGGCATGCTATCGACATAATGAAAAGTCATGCCGCCGCGGCGACCGGTGCACGCGTGCGAGCGCCCGGCCGCGGCCGCTGGCGCGCTGGCGCCGCTGGCGCTGCCGCGGCCTCACGCAGCTGGGCTGCTAGGCTCACCCTGTAAAGGTTGGTGAGGGAAGCCACGATGGGTTGCAGGTGGGCCGGCACGGAGGATGTGTCGGCATTGGCCAGAGTGATGTTGGCGGGAGGCCCCGGGGGCGGCGGCGGCGGCGCGGTGATGGGGGTGGGCGTAGGGCCTGCTGCGGGGGAGGGCCGGAGGAGGGTGGGGGGGAGTGAGGCGCCGGCGCAGCGCACGGGCAGCGCAGCGGAGGTGTGCAGCCGGCGGGGCAACACCACAACCACAGCTGCGCAGCGCATGTGCGCTGCGCAGACAGAAGATTGGCTTGCAGAGCGGCAGCAGGGCTGATGGCGCAGGGCTGTGCAGGAGCCAGCGTGGCTCCTGCCCACGCGTTTCACAAGCAGAGATTGCAGACGCACACACAGTCGCCACAGCAGGCCGGCCAGCAGCAGCATCAAGGCAGCAGCAGCGAGAGAAGCGGCAGGCAGAGATGGGGAGGCGCGGCTGCATGGTCGGGGCGGCTCACCCCTGGCCGGCGGCGGCGCCATGCCGGGCGGTACGGCGGGGCCTTGGTGCGGCACAAAGGAGGGCGAGGGCAGCTGGCCACCGCCGGCCAGCGAGCCCGCGCGGGAGGCGGGCTGGTAGACGCCTGAGGAGGGGCCGGGCGCAGCGGGCGCCTGCTGGTACGTGGCGGCGGGCGCCGCAGAAGGCTGGTACACCTGGGCTGCCGCCGGCGGACCCGCCACCTGCGCCGCAGATGGCTGGTACACGGCAGGCGCCGAGGCGGCGGCGGAGGGCTGGTAGACGGCCGGCGCCGCCGCCGCGGGCTGGTAGGCGGCCTGCTGTTGCTGGTACGACACGGGGTGGGGCTGCGCGGAGGTGGGGGTGCCTGCAGGAGACGGCGGCGCGCCATAGGCGGCGGCGGCGGGCTGGTAGGCGGCGGGCGGCGCCGGCGGTACGGCGCTGCCGTAGCCGCCGCCGTACGCCTGGTACTGCTGCTGCTGCTGCTGCGCAGGCGACTGCGGCGGGGGCGCAACCGCCGCAACTCCAGTGCTGTACTCGCCGCCGCCGCCCCAGGAGGTGGTCGCAGCCGTGCCATACCCATTCAGCTGCTGCTGCTGCTGCTGGGCGGCAGCATAGCCGCCTTGCGCGCTGTAGGGCTGGTAGGAGGGCGCCGCCTGCTGCGCCTGCTGCGCCTGGTAGGTCGGCTGCGGCGCCTGTGCCGCCACGGCGCCGTATCCCGCCTGGGCGCCGTAGGCGGCGGGCGCAGCAGCCTGCTGCTGCTGCCAGGAGCCGGCTGCCACGTCCTCTGCAGCGGCAGCGCAGCCAGCATGTATGCGGCTCAGCCCAGGAGCACCTTGGGGGGGCAAGTGAGCAAGCGAGCGAGGCAGGGCTGGCGAGGGCCGGGGCCCGCCCAGCCGGCTCCCACAGCCTCTGGGCCAGCCTCTGCTGGATCCACACACACACACACACACATGCACAACACCCGCCGCCCCGGCCACGCTCACCCCCAGAGAAGGGGAAGGGTGGCGGCACCGTGCCCGGCGGCAGCTGGTCGGAGCCGGCTGCAGACGAATAGATCCTCTCCTTCAGCACAGCCACACCCGTGCTGGGCTCGCCTGCAAGGCACGGCCGCGGGCGGGGGCAGCGGCGCGGGTCAGCCACGCACAGGGCGCAAGCAATACGGCGGTGAGCAGGTTGCGCGGCGAGGCAGGCTAGGGGCGGTGCCGGGCGCGGGGAAGGGGGCAGGCGGCCGGCACCCAGCAGACACGCCAGCCTTCTTGCTGCTTTCCAGCCGCACAACCGACTGGCAGGTCACAGGCAGGGCAGGCCACCACACACAGACACACACACCACCACCACAACCGAGCTGTCTCCCTCTCTACCTTTCTCGCTGTCTCACACACACGCAAATACACATGCATGGGCGTGGTGTGGTGTGCACCCCACCACACCCAGCGAACACACATGCACACACCACCACCATCAACATCAACAAACACACACACACACACACACACACACCAGCCCACAGCCCACCCGGGATCATGGACAGGTAGTCCAGGGCGGTACCCAGGCGGCCGTTGGCGGCCAGCAGCTCCGCGTACCGCACAATCAGGTCTGCAGGCAGGGGGGCGGGCAGGCGGGGGGGCGGGCAGAAGGGGCAGGCAGGCAGGGGGGTGATCACGGTGGGCAGGCGGGCAATACATGCAGGCAGGCTGGGTGGGCAGGCAGGCTGGGGTGGGCAGGCAGAAGGGGCAGGCGAGCGGAAGGGCAGGCGGGTCTGCAGGCAGAGGCGGGACAGGCTGGCTTGCTAGGCGCGCCCCCAGGGCCACAGCCCCACCTGACAACGCCTCCGAGGCGGTGTGGCGGTTCACCCCCACACCCAGCACCACAGCCTTCTCCATCAGGTTCTGCAGGCAGGCAGGAGGGCAGGAGGGAGGGGAGCGGCGCAGGACAGCGTGGGGTGAGCACGCCAGTGGAGAGATTGCAGGTGCAGGAGACATGGGGCGAGAGGGCGGCGCAGTGAGACGACAGGGGGGGCAGGCAGCCAGGCGAAAGGCCGGGGCGGCGGAGCAGCCGCCGGCGCGCACACAAAACACACATGCCAGCATGCCAGGCATAATCTCTCTCTCTCTCTCTCTGCCTCCCAGCCACCCAGCCACCACACCCCTATGGAAACACCGGCAACCCACGCTCCACCCCCCCCCA